AGGATTCATCTGTGTGTAAAGATCCTTCACCATTGTTTATTATATACTTGCTAATAGTAACTGATCCAATACTTCATATCATGGTATTTCATTAGATCAAATATGCCAGTGTACAGAAACTCCAAGGGGTATCTGTTCTGAAGCCAACGATTTTTTTTCTTCTGATCACTTCTGAAAATCGTTGTCTGTAGGCTTAAGTTCCAAGCTTTGGAATATGTACCTTTAATACGTGCAAATAGTTAGAAACCCGATAACAAGGCCAGTGCTTCAGCTACATTACTGATAACTTCTGCAACAGAGATAGTTTCTACTGAATCAGAAACTACTTCATCTTCTAGAGGGATCTTCTTCACCAGACATTCTAATGCTAGCCAATAATGCTACGTTAGCTTGTTCTTCATCTTCATCATCTTCTGAAAACTCATAATCATCTCGTGTTACCTCCAGCCTTTTCTTTTCTTGCTTATTAAAGCTTTTTACTTGCCTTAAGGTGAGCTCGAATAAATCTTAACAGAACATCTAGTTCCTTTGAGTTTGTTGCAATGATTCTTCTTTAAGAGACGATTAGTCATTCTTGACAGAGTGACACATTGTCTTCATCCTCTTTGGAATCCTTGAATTCTTTAGCTGATGAACTTCTGATCTTTTTAGGTCATCTGATAGATGTAAACATAACATATTTCCTCTTATCTGAATTAAACGATTATAGCTTATTCTCCATGACTTATCAACACAAATCACCAATTCTTTTAGAGAAACGTTGATCATATATTTTGTAACTGAGAAGTAGTTACTTGTAAGCTTTTATCCAAATGGCAAGCTTCTGATAGTCTTCTTCAAGAGATCTGACAAAGAGAGAGTCTCAGTTCAGAACTCTAAGTCATGCAACCATGGTTTGAAAACTTGATAACAAGATTTCAACCTACTTCAACATTCTTCATCTTGAAGTCTTCATGCTTCAGAATCAAAACATGAGCATTTGTTTCCTTGACTAAAAAAAAATTCTTAATAAGTTATTGAGAAAGTCAAATAGACTTAGAAGTCTGTTATTTGAAAACATATCATACTTAGTAAGAATTATCTTTCAGCAAACAAGGAACTTATTGCTTTCTGATGATTCTTTTCATCCTTTTCCAACTGATCATTCAGATTTGCTTTCATCCTTTTACCAGCTTCACCTGAGAGAGATATGTAGTTATTAACTACCATATTCCAAAGATCAGTATCATCGTTTAGGAAGAACTTTCTAGTTCAGCTTTGTAGTACTCAACCTTTTTACCAACAATGATGGAAGATATAACTAAGAACATTTGAGACTAGAACAACAAGTGGTGGAGTGGACACCACCAAGGTGTTTCTCAAATCTCATACAGATCTTTATCTGACATGGTTAAGTGTTTGATAAACATCAATACCATAATCGGAGCTCTGATACCAATTGAAGGGGGTGAATTAGGTTTCATCAAATATGATCTTTTGCGGAAATTTAAACTTCAATGCTAATAAGAGAATAAAAATAAATAGATACAACTATTTTTATCCTGGTTCACTGTTAACAAAGTTACCCCAGTCCACCCACCAAGGTGATTTCTCCTTAGGCAAGGACTTAATCCAATAATCTCAACAAATTACAAATTCTAAGTGTTAGAAAACAACTTAGCCCTCTAAAGTATCCAGACTAACGACTTAGTCACTTGAGGAATCTCCACTTTGAAAAGTGTTACAAGTGTATACAAGAATAGCTTCTAAACAAGCAGATGACACAAGTTGAAGTACAATAACCAAAAGTGTTTTATAGCAAGATATGAACAACAACTCCTTGCTAATTTGCAAAACTATGTTAAGAATAATCTCTTAGAGATTTGCATCATATTAACATGAGTTTTGTTGAGCTTAAGAGATTCTTTTAATGCTTCTTTCTTTTTCATGTAGAGCAGTGCTCTATTTTGGTTGAGCTTTAAGCATCTTCTTTTGAGCTTACAACAGGGTGCTTTATTTCCGCTTTGCACACATACTCTCATGTTTTCTCCAGCTCTTTATCTTCTTGTTGTTATTATCTCTTTATCATATCTTTAGCTCTTCTGGATTTTTGGAACTGCAGCACTAAGCACTTCGGTACAACATTTTGCTCACAATATTTCTGCGCACAACATTTTTGCTTACAACATTTTTGCTCTCTCTTCAAGCATTCAGACCTTCAATATATAGAGCTTGAGAATAGATCTGTTGGAGGGTATAAATGGAAAAAAAATTCCAACTGTAACTTCCCAACATTCACTGAAGGAATGGTCACATCATAATACAAAAACTTGTCCTTGCACCACCTAGTCTAGGTAAAGGTCATAAACTATTTTGCACTTTTATATTCAATGCTTTATCCATCATTCTTGATTTTCTTCTTCTAATTCTTCAGAGGCTTCAGATGTATATTTGATGAAGCATGTTGTAGAGAGATGAATACTTGTAACTTCATAACCTAAGTCTTCAGAGTCTCAGATCTTCGTTCAATAGAACCTTGTCTTGAGAGTCTTCAGCACTTGGTCTTTTAGAAGTGATGTCTTTAGAATATTCAGAACTCGTTCAATAAAAACTTGTCTTTAGAATCTTCAGAACTTTTTTCAGCACATACTTTTTTTCAGAGTCTTCAGAACTTCGTTCAACAGAACCTTGTCTTCAGAATCTTCAGAACTTTGTTTAACACATACTTTTCTTCAGAGTCTTCAGAACTTCCTTCAACAAAACCTTGTCTTTATAAACTTCAGAACTTTGGAGCAATATAAGTGATATCTTTAGAATCTTCATAACTCTGTTCAACATAACCTTGTTTTTAGAAACTTTAAACTTGTTCAGCAGATACTTGTCTTAAGAGTCTTTAGAACTCAGGGAATTTATAAATATATCTCTTAAAAAACCTTAAAGGCTTTACAATCAGAAGCTTTAGTACAAACGTTCTTCAGAACTGTTGCACTAAAATCATCCCAAAGTTTTGACTTTAACTTGTACACAACATATGTTTTCTTTTATAATGTTTAGATCAGAGTCTGATAACGTTACATGCCTTTCTATCAGATTCAGACCCATTTTAGCAAAAGCTACACACTAGACAGAAACCATAAAGTATCGAATTATTCTATAAGATGCCATGCGCAGTTATCATCAAAACTTAAGGCCAGATGCAGAACCATTATTGTTCTTACACCGTATGCCATATTTATCTCAACATCTTCGACTAACAACTTATCCTCATAATTATTGTAGGGTCATAATCGAGAAAGAAGGTTACCTATGCTCTATAGATCGTCAAAAACTAACTTTTCTTTGAACATGCAATTTGGACACAGTCGCTTCTTAAAATCCAACATTTCACCTTGTCATTAGTACATCTCACTTCTAGTGTTTCTTTGTGAAATCTTTCAATGTATTCTTAGAGTGTCTCTTTCTTCCTCTAGCTAATGTCGATGAACACGCCTACTATTTTCAAATAAAGATACGTGAATAGGGAACTAAACTTATCACATAATTTTCTTCTAAGAGCTGATGTAGTTGTCTAATAGAGCCTTGGATCAGGTCATAATGACTCCTTTGAAAGTTAGCATAAATTTTTTGCACTTCACGATACTTTTGGCTCGATGATAATCTAAAACAATATTCATATGTACAATTTGCTCGTTAAGATCCATAGTGTCATCATAAGTCTCTAGATTTGGGAGTTTCTCCTAAGTCTTAGGGGTATGGAAATCAATTATCTGTTAGGTGAACATATATTTGTCAACGGCGAGTGAAGGCATGGTTGAAGGGACAATGCTCGTGTCCCTTTTGAGAACTATGGGAAGAAGATCTCCTTATGTGGTGATCTTCTAGAGGTGTGCGATTGTTGCCTCTACCCCCAAAGTCATGGCGATGTATGTTATTCCTACGATGATGAGGGTGATGCCTAATTGGTAACTAAGACGAGAACATTCCTCAAGACTAATATGGAGTGTTCATGTTGCAACACCTCTAAGGGAGTTGCAATATGAGTTGGATTTTTATGTTAATTTTATTCGACGCAAAAATCCTCACGATTTGCCATTGTAACAAAATGAAAAAGATCAACATGAGTTCATTTACATCTGGTGCTTCGAATGATGTCTAAAGTTTTAGGAAGTCGCAAAACTGTGTTGGAACCAAAGATTGAGGACGAGGAAATTGATGTTGTCGTGGATGAAGCGAGAGTTAAAGAGGAGGAAGATGCATATCATGTTGTAACGAAAGAATTGAATGATACTTTTGAACAATCAGTTGGGGAATCGTTGTCGAAGTTTGAGGATCTTGTTGTCATAGAGGTTATTCACATACATCAAAGAGAACTGGTGAAACATTGTCTTGAAAAATGTGATTAGTCGATCAAAGATTATTAGATGCTATGTGATTGCGGGTTTCATTTGAGTCGACCATTGGCAAAGATAACAAAAAGAGTGTTTACGAGACAATTACGATTGTCGATAATGTAATAATAAATAGTTGCAGCATACAACGATAGAGACTAGAGATATTCAATGAAAATTATTGAGAATAAAAACACTATTTATATAGACGGTGTCTCCATTGTGTAAAAGAATACATGATCGTGACTCCGATCACACTTATATAAAGGTAACAGGTTTAAATAGTTCATAGTTTGCCTGACGTAAAGTGCAAACAACTGTTGGATAAGATCAACGACTAAGATGAAAGAGAAAATTATACTCTTATGTAATGTCCAAAAATGAATGTCTATCTATGGGACATTGAATGAAACACTTCACTAAAATAGACAAATGAGTGAGTCAAATTAAAAAAATTATTTTATAACTTTTATGGAGAGAAAAAAAAGAAGCATAATTAACCCCTAATAATACTTAATAAATGAGAAGAAAAGAAACATAAATTGAGATGTCATATGAGTATATAAAAGGCTGTAGTTTCCCGCCAGCACAGTTTGGACTCACTGTGTGTGTGTGAGAGAGAGACTGAAGAAGATGTTGTGGGTAGACAAGTATCGTCCCAAAACCCTAGACCATGTTATGGTTCACAATGATACCGCTCAAAATCTCAAGAAATTGGTAATTATCCTTCTCAATAACACACATTCAATCTTCTTAATTGTCTTTCTTCAGCAACATTGTTGTAATTTTTGTTAGGGTTTTGTGATTTTTATTGCAGGTTTCGGAACATGATTGTCCCCATTTGCTGTTCTATGGTCCATCAGGTTCTGGCAAGAAAACCCTAATCATGGCTCTTCTCCGTCAAATGTTTGGACCCGGTGCAGAAAAGGTCCTTTTTCTCTTTCTACTCTTTAGTGTGTTTGTTTCAATTAGGGAAAAAAATACCATGCTTAATGGTTCAGGTTTTGCTTCAAGTTTCAAGGAGCTTGGCTACCCTAAACCATGTTTGAGTTTCGTCTGCCATTTATGTATAATCTTAATTATATTAATTTTTTTGGTTTGCAATTGCGGCAATGATTGACACAATATCACTGTCAAATTTGGCTGATGACCTTAGTTATAGTTGCAGAGATATCAATGCGGCCGATGAGGGCCTTAATCAAGGTCACATAGATGCTGGTGTGACTGACGTGATCTTGGCCATGATTGTGGAGATATCGAAAACCAGGACTCAGATAGTGAACTTTTTATCAATAACTTTCTAGTGAGTGAAAAAATGTGTTGAGTGCTGACATTTCCGGACAGTGAGGGTCTAATGTGATTTCTAGATAGTTGGGATCTATGTAGCACCAACAACACATGTCTGTGTCGCCGTGTCAGTGTCGGGGTTGTGTTCAGAGTGTCCGTGCTTCATAGGTTGGGATTCTAGACAAGAAATTTTAGAGTTAATGTTGATTTTGAAGGAATGTACTAATTGGTTTTTTGTTTATTCCACGAGGAAATGCAATCATTGTGTAAGCACCTCACCTGTTCCCTTACTAATAAAGGATTTTAGATCAAAATTATAATTCGAGTAATTTTAGTTATAGTTTTGTTATCTTTCTCGGTTATTGTTATAATGTAGCTTTAGTATTTGATTGTCTGGTTTATAGTTATCATGCTCATGGTTGAATTAATGTCGTTTACTTATCAGTACTGTAATCTGGTTCCTTTTTAAATTGTCTTTGTCTGTTGGTGTTTCAGGTGAAGGTCGAAAATAGGGCATGGAAAGTGGATGTAAGCTTCATTCTTTCTCTAACCGTACCCCTTTATTTTGGTGTTGTCGTTGTGAACTTGTGAGTTTTCTGAAACAATATTACGTTCGTATGGTTTGGGGGTTATTTTATGTTCTTGCTGGTACCATTTGTACTGGTTCACCTTGATTCTTGGATATTCTGTATCATGTGCACTCCTCGAGGAAGCACAGCGTTCATTCAGCTTTATGTTATTATTATTAGTGTCACTTTTTAGGCAATAGTTTGAATTGTATTTTGTTGGATTTGGTGTGTATAGTTAAACTGAATCGTTGCTTTTTATTTGGCCATTTATTTTTATCTTTAAGTGATATGGAATTGGTTGCAGGCTGGGAGTAGATCTATTGATTTAGAGCTGACAACATTATCAAGTGCCAATCATATCGAAATGACTCCAAGTGATGCAGGCTTTCAGGACAGATACATTGTGCAGGAAATAATCAAAGAAATGGCCAAAAATAGACCCATTGATACTAAAGGGAAGAAAGGATTTAAAGGTGACTAACTATGTTGTGTGAACACTCTCTTGTTTATTATGTGAATTTTTGTTTCGGTCTTCGCTTTTTACGACTATGTCAAATAAGAAACTACTCCGCCTTGTCTTGGATGGTAAAAGTTAATAAACATTTACATTACTTTTTTTTTTTATCCTTTTGGTTTACTTCATTATTTAAAGCTCATGTTTGATTTTATTCTCTGTCAGTGCTTATCCTTAATGATGTGGACAAACTCTCTAGAGAAGCCCAGCATTCTCTCCGCAGAACGATGGAGAAATATAGCGCTTATTGCAGATTGATTTTATGTTGCAATAGTTCTTCAAGAGTCACAGAAGCCATCCGCTCCCGTTGTCTTAACGTGCGAGTAAATGCACCAAGTGAAGAACAGGTTAGTAATTTTCAATGTTGAATGTCCAAAGTTTATATGTTGAATGTCCAAAGTTTATATGTTGAATGTTCATCTTTACTAAATCTTTGGAGATCTGTGGCAGATTGTTGAAGTTTTACAGTTCATTGGTAAGAAAGAAGGGCTTCAACTTCCTTCTAGTTTTGCTGCTCGCATAGCAGAGAAATCAAATCGGAATTTGAGGAGGGCCATATTATCATTTGAGGCTTGCCGTGTCCAACAGTAAACTCCACAAGCCTCCCCATTTAGGGTTCATTTGTTATTGTAGATTATAAAAAAAAATGATTTTGACGTTTAATAATTTCCTCAATGTGTTACTTGAAGGTATCCTTTCACTGACAAACAAACAATTTCCCAGATGGACTGGGAGGAATATATTTCAGAAATTGCATCTGACATAATGAAGGAACAGAGCCCTAAAAGGTTTGCACTTTGCATACAATTTTCTGATTTTTCATGATAAACAAAATGACTTGATCAGTTTTATGAACTGCCAACTCGATTACTTTGTCAACTATCTTCTTGTTTCAGTTGCATACATTCAATGCATTTTTCATCACCCGTGTCATATTGTATAGGTTGTTTCAAGTTCGAGGAAAACTGTATGAGCTTCTAATCAATTGCATTCCTCCCGAAATCATTTTGAAGGTAAATTTCTTTCTTTACAATGTCCTAGGTAAGTTTTTTTTCCCCTCCTTTTCAGTACTTAACTTTGACAAATTTTTTGTTGGTTCAGAGGCTACTTTATGAGCTATTGAGAAAACTGGATGCAGAACTGAAGCATGAAGTCTGCCATTGGGCAGCATATTATGTAAGTGAATTATATATCTAGTCATTTTTACTTCTATATTGTTTCAAAAATATAAAGTTGCTGATTCTTTGTTCGCCTCGTTGAATCAGGAACATCGGATGCGCCTTGGACAGAAGGCCATTTTTCACATCGAAGGTACTTTGACTTCGACTTTATGTGTCCGCTCTGATGTTTGTTTAATGATATATTTGTGTCTTGGAACACATGCAACATGCATAAGACACTACTCCAAAGTGGTTATAGATTAGGATATCTAATTGCATGCTGACCTATTTTTTCTCTCTTCACTTGCAGCATTTGTGGCCAAGTTCATGAGCATCTATAAATCCTTCCTCATCGCAACATTTGGTTGAAGGATGATCATTTGTGGCCAAGTTCATGAGTGTTTATAAATCCTTCCTCATCGCAACATTCGGCTGAAGAATGATGGTTTCATTTTCTATGCTGTGTTTTAATTGTATTAGTTACTGGATATTTCTTTTGCTATTCTCTAACTAAGGTCTGTGCACTTCATTAAAATAGTTTCATCGTGTATTGATGTATTTACATTTACTGTTACACTTAAAAAATATATATAAATAGGTTTAACTATTTTGTAATGGAATGCATAAGTTTTGGATTGATGCTAACCTATCTCACCAATATTATTTTTGTTTTAAAACTTTAGTTCTTTTAAGAAACTAAGACACACCATCCATTATGTTCTTTTCTCGCTTTTTCTTATGAATTACAAAAATTAAAAATATGCATTACTTATGAATTACAAAAATTAAAAATATGCATTAAATATATTTTACTTTTATTAATGAAATAGTTGAAACATATGTGGTGAATAGTTAAAGGTATCAAAATAAATTAAGGGGATATGTTATATGAGAATTTCTTTTTTTCTATGTATTTCTATTGAAATTTCATTAATAGTTTTTTTATTTATTTTGAAGATATATCTCTGGGCGCACTTAAACTTTAATAAACATCGGAATATTTTGGAGATATATTTTTGAAATATTTTAGAGCATAAATTGCCTCGGACTCTTCTCCTCATTCACACTTCTCTAACTCTTCTTTCGACATAAAATTTCAACTTTTTCACATTATCAAAATTTATTAACTAAGGCTAAGAGGAACATCAAACATCATCAATAACATCATTCAACATTATCAAAACCATAAATTTCAGGTAAAATTTAGGATAAATTTTGAGTTTTTGTGTAAATGTGTAGAAATCAATTATTAGGGTTAGAAATATGTAGAAATCAATGATTAGGGTTAGAAATGTGTAGAAATCACATGTAACGTAATTTAGACTTAATATATAACTTGCCTATTGGCTCAAAATGACGATCAAATCATGTTTTTTTCAACTCGCGTGAGCCACATTATGCCATTGCCGCGACCTCTGAGTTGCAGAACTTTTCAGAGATATATCTCCGGAATAGTTTAGCGTTTCATATGCTTTGATAATTTCTGGAGATACATATCCAGAATCTTCAAAGGTAATAGTTTTATGGTGTTTCCGGAGATGTATTCATGAATTGTTCAACATTATTGTTTTATTATCTTTTTGGAGATATATCTCCAGAATATTCTGCAGTCTGTTTTTTATTTTTATTTTCTTGTTTGTGAGTGTTGTCTATGTGCATTAATGATACACCTTACTTTACCTTACTTGCATTATGGCTGACAGAGTCGACATACCAATACATGGTCGGGTTGCCCAACACGCATCCATTCGGCAGGAGCGGAGGCAGCAGGTACTTCTAGTCAGGCAGAGACGTCGACTTCTGGGGCACAATCTACTCCCGAGGCTTTTCATCTCAGGCCACTCCACCTTCATCTCAGGCCACTCCATGTTCTTCTTCTTCTTCTTCTTCGCATAGGAGACGAGATTCACTAACTGACGCGTAACTTCCCTCATCCTCCCTCAGGTGTTAGGATTCACCAGTGCCACCTCCTGGTGATCCAGTGCCATCTCCCGCTGATGATCCTACTGATCTAGCGCCACCTCCAGAGGGTGAGACTGCTACTAATACCGAGTCAGAGGATTTTGGAGGAGGTCCATCTGATTTGTTCTTACTTCCTCTGTATCCAGACCACATTGCTAGACATATATGAGACGGAGAGGAAACATTAGTTAGATTTTTAATTTATTTTTTATGTTAATTTAAATCGCTGACATTGACTAATTCTAATATTGATTATTACTGACATTGATTATTTATGGAAAATTTTAGGTGTGTGATCCCTAGAAGTTTCTGAACCATTAGAGGAAGATTGTTGGCTTAGCACATCCAAATGAGGATTGGTTTCAATCAGTTATGACCTTATCTAGGTTGAAGGACCTATGCATGACCGATTACACTCTGGTCAACCACGAGATGCTTAATGCATTCGTGGAGAGATGACATTCTGAGAACTCTTCTTTTCATCTCCCGTATGGTGAGATGTCTATCACACTAGACAAGGTCTCGTGTTTGTTACATCTTCCGAGCAGAGGGGGATTCCTCGATCATGGTAGGATGACCAAAGACGAGGCAGTGAAGATGATGGTAGAGCATATGGAGACTGATCTAAGAAAAGCGATTGAGCAAGTGGGTAGGACTAGGTGTGCTCATGCTAGGTTTGAGTTCCTGAAGGAGAGATAAGATGAGAAGATCGTTACTGTAGAGGTTGCTGATGGTGATGTCGAGCAAGTGGCGGTACACAAAGCTCGTGCTTTGAGGGCATATTTTCTTTTTTGGTTGGCACTTGCCTTTTGGGGACACGAGTGCCACTTATACTGACGTTGCATACCTTTGGTACTTCTTGGATCTCACTCGAATCCATAAGTACAATTGAGGGGGGGGGGGGGGGGGCTTGCCTGTGCTATCTTTATTCAAAGTTGAGAGATGAATATCAGTGGAAGATGAAACAGGTCACAGGCAGCGTGACACTACTGATGGTAATAATTCTTGATCCTTGAATGTTTTTTTGTCATTTTCGTTTCATATTTGCAAAACCATTGCCGATAATTCTTGCTCCTTGAATGTTTTTTCTTTTTTCTTTTCATTTCAGGCTTGGATCCTCCAGCACTTCCCGCACATCACTGACTGGGTGAGTGTAGATGAGTACACTAAGGACATGCTTCGTGCCTGTGCTTTTATCTCGCTGAGAGGGAGTTAGAAGGTCGAGACTTTAAGAGTATACCTTGACCGTTTGGTTGCTGAGAACAAACACTTCAACAACTATGTGGATCACCGTCAGATGCGACCATTTGATGACATAGCTTTATACTCCAGATGATTGGTCTGCGAATCACGTATCAGTGCTCCTCATTTTTTCGAGTGCGTCATGCGGAAGTTCGGTTACATCCAGACCATCCCCAGACACCTTGTTTTCTCTGCTCCTCCTGCCTTGGCTCGTAGGCAGAGAGAATATGTTTGTTGATTTTCAGAGTCATCTAGTACAGGACGAGGAACAGGCTACCATAACGCCGAACGACTAGATCTACGTCGATGAGTACATCAGGTAGTTCTTTAGGGTGTCACATCCGTACATGGTGCAGACTGCTCCAAGAGATCCGCCAAGACCAGCTTATCAGGAGATACTTGAGAAGGAACAGGATCAGCTAAATCATAGTGATGATGTCTTGCCTCGGTGGGCAGACATTGACGAGGGTATCTTCCCTGAGGGATCTGCTGTCAAGCGAGTCCTGGATATCATGGTGGCAGAGGCACAAGGGACACTATTGTACCAGAGACATCGCCGGAGGATGAATGGGATTGATGGCCGAAGAGGCAAAGGAGGTAGAAGAGAGGTTGTCAAACACACCCAGTAGTTGTCTGTTATTATTTTGTTGTAGTACTATAGTTTGCAATTTATTTTTGACATTGTTACTACATTTTGGATCACGATTGTACGACATTTTCTTATAATATTGCTATATTATTTTTGACACATCCAATATTAGTCTTTTATTATTCTGTACGTTTATTTTTTATTCGAGTTCGTGCTTCATACTTCATCTGAAAACAAATACACAATTTATAACAAAAAAACAATCTGTTTTAATATACTTCGAAGATGTATCTCCATTTTTCTGTAAATGCATATTCGAAACAATTCAAGTGTAAATAGTTTATGAGTGACATGTTCTAAATATTTAAAATGGTTCCGGAGATATATATCTAGAATATGTCAACATTTATTTAAAATTATGTATGTCTAGAAATGTATCTCTAAAATAAAAAATATATGTAAAAATTTACATAGTATCTTAAAAATATATAGGGTGCAATAAAAAATTGTCTATTAAATTGTTCAATTATAACTAATGCATTTAGTTAAAATTTGGGCTTGAAATTTTCACTGGAAGCAGGAAAGTGTGAATTTGAATCCTTCAAAATTATTTTTAATAATTTGATTGATTTAAAGTGAAAGTAATAAATGGGCATGGAATTCACTAAAATGAATCTTCACTAGAGAGAATCCTTCCCCTTATAATTCACACCATAAAACCAGACTATGACATTGAAGATTATGATGAGATGAGTTTAGTTAATCTGGCTAAACAACGTTTACCATGTGGTTATATATCAAATAAATTATAATTATGTGATAATTGTATAATAGAAAAACAATATAGGATTAAGTTTGGAAATAACATGCTTCGTTTTCATTTTTGGTAGATTGTTTGGTTATGTTGACTATGATTTTTGAAGTTCATCTTTGAGCTATTTTAAAAATATAATTAATTGAATTGTATATTTGAATTGAACTGCATTGCATTAAAAAAAAACTAAATTATTTAAATAATTAATGAACTAACGTATTTAATTAAAACAATTTAAATTTAATTTAAAACCAATTCAAAACCAATTTTCTTTTATAAATTAGTTTAATTATATAAATTAATTAATTTTTAATAAAAAAAATAAAAAATTAATTGAGAGTAAAAAAAATTCTGAAAATAAAAAAGAAAAATAAAAAATTTAAAAAAAATCTAGAAAATATATTTTTTAGTTCCTAAATTTTTTTAAAAAAACTAATATCGATTTTGTCCAAAAAGTTAATTTTTTTAAAAATACGAAACATCCATTTTTTTTCTTCCAAAAATACAATAATTTGTATTTCGTTATGTGATTAATTGAATAATTTGTATCATATTTGTTATTCATAGGATTTGTTGTTGGTTTTGAATTTACAATACAAATAAATACGATGATGATAATGATGATCTTGATATATGTCAAACATATAGTGTGTCTTTTTACTGTTTATGTTATCGATTTGAGTTGTTTCTTATTTTCACCTGAAGTTATAAATTTTAATATAGATTTTTTATTGGGTATTTTATATTATGAATGGAAGTTTA